TCTTCATACAGTTCGCGCCGCTGGGCACTGCGGAAAGATGGCTGCTGCGGAGAACGTGCTCACGGGTGCGCTGAACTCCTGGTGGGGCACGATCCGCACGAAGGGTGTGCCGAACGATTCTCATGCCCCCGCGCCATCACGCCCACTGAAGCCACATGCGAGTCTCCTCCGGGCACGCCCCGTGCGAGGCATGTTCCGAAATGGGCGGGGGGACCCTGTGCGAAGCTGCCCATTGGTGATTGGTGTTATGGGTGGAGCTCATTCTGGGGCATGATTCCCGTGACAGATGTGCCGACATGGGCGGAGGGGGGGGGGGGCGTTGTACGAACCTTACCTTTGGGCCTTGAGGTCTTTTTTGTGCGCACGATCCGCGCGCAGGGTGCTCCGCAGTGGGCGGGGGGGGTGTGCAATGCGAACCCTGCCTCTGGGGCCACAGGTGCAGATCTATGTAGGCCACGATCCGTGCGAGACGCGTGCTGAAGCAGACGTCGGGGCGGGATGCGGCCTCTGTTTCCGGGGCCGTCCGTGGAGCGCCCTGCGCGCCACGATCCGTGTGAGACGTGTGCCGAGCTAAGCTGGGCGACGCCATGCCGCTTCCCCGTTCTGCCGCACATGCAATTGCTTGATGGGCACGATCCGCGTGAGGGGCGTGCCACTCGTTTCTGGGGACGTAGGTGGAGATCACTGTGCAGCGCGATCCCTTTGAGGTGTGTGTGTGTGTGTGTCGACACGGGCGGGGGAACCCTAAGCCAAGCTTGTCTCTTGGGTCGTCGGTGGAGCTTTCTGAGGGGAGCGATCCGTGTGGCACTGTAGACATTCTGTCCTCCGATGTCGAGCACTTTGGACCACAACCATAACTGGCTATAACCCACGCGGGCGAAACACGCGTGTGGTCCTAGCATGTTTATGCTGGGGTTCGGGGGCCAGGGGCCCGGGGTGGAACACCTTCCTTGATCCCTCCCCTAATTCTTCTAGCTCGCGACATAATTGACCCCATCCGGGGCTTCCTGGGCCTCCCCCCCACTCTTCAAACTGCTTCGGAGGCCACCTAAGAGCGACCAGAGCGGCCTGACAGGGCCGAAGACGCTCGAATAGATATTTGTGCAAGACGGTTTGAGAGGTCCCGAATATGTCCTAAGAATGCTCCAAGTTGCGCCCCGAGAGGGCCCCGGGGGCCAGAATTGTTTCAGTCCCGACGGGCAATTCATATTTGCCGCATATTCCAACTAGGGTTTTTACCTAACAGCGAAGACTGATAGGTTTCTAGTAGGGTCAAAGGAGAGCATCATGACTCCCCAGGGAGGTCTGGGCGGGATCCGGGCGGGTGCCGCGGAAAACCGGGGACTCCATTTTTAGCCAACAGTAACGCACTTCGTGGTCTTCGAGTTCCCAGAAGTCCATTCCTGGGCATGATTTTGAATGCCCAGAGCCAACTGTAGGCCACTTCGTGTTCTTCGAGTTCCCATAACTCCATTCCCGGGCCACATTTTGAATGCTGAGGCAGGCTGATGCTGAGGCTGAGGCAGGCTGAGGCTGAGGCAGGCTGAGGCTGAGGCCGAGGCTGAAGGCAGACTGAGGCTGAGGCTGAAGCAGGCTGAGGCTGAGGCTGAGGCAGGCTGAGGCTGAGGCTGAGGCAGGCTGATGCTGAGGCAGGCTGAGGCTGAGGCTGAGGCTGATGCAGGCTGAGGCTGAGGCAGGCTGAGGCTGAGGCCGAGGCTGAAGGCAGACTGAGGCTGAGGCTGAAGCTGAGGCTGAGGCTGAGGCTGAGGCAGGCTGAGGCTGAGGCTGAGGCAGGCTGAGGCTGAGGCTGAGGCTGAGGCAGGCTGAGGCTGAGGCGAGGCTGAAGGCAGACTGAGGCTGAGGCTGAAGCAGGCTGAGGCTGAGGCTGAGGCAGGCTGAGGCTGAGGCTGAGGCAGGCTGATGCTGAGGCAGGCTGAGGCTGAGGCTGAGGCTGATGCAGGCTGAGGCTGAGGCAGGCTGAGGCTGAGGCCGAGGCTGAAGGCAGACTGAGGCTGAGGCTGAAGCAGGCTGAGGCTGAGGCAGAGGCAGGCTGAGGCTGAGGCTGAGGCAGGCTGAGGCTGAGGCAGGCTGAGGCTGAGGCTGAGGCTGAGGCTGAGGCTGAGGCTGAGGCTGAGGCTGAGGCTGAGGCTGAGGCTGAGGCAGGCTGAGGCTGAGGCTGAGGCCTGAGGCTGAGGCTGAGGCTGAGGCTGAGGCTGAGGCTGAGGCTGAGGCTGAGGCTGAGGCTGAGGCTGAGGCTGAGGCTGAGGCTGAGCAGCTGAGGCTGAGGCAGAGGCAGGCTGAGGCTGAGGCTGAGGCAGGCTGATGCTGAGGCAGGCTGAGGCTGAGGCTGAGGCTGATGCAGGCTGAGGCTGAGGCAGGCTGAGGCTGAGGCCGAGGCTGAAGGCAGACTGAGGCTGAGGCTGAAGCAGGCTGAGGCTGAGGCTGAGGCTGAGGCTGAGCAGGCTGAGCTGAGGCAGGCTGAGGCTGAGGCTGAGGCTGATGCAGGCTGAGGCTGAGGCAGGCTGAGGCTGAGGCCGAGGCTGAAGGCAGACTGAGGCTGAGGCTGAAGCAGGCTGAGGCTGAGGCAGGCTGAGGCTGAGGCTGAGGCAGGCTGATGCTGAGGCAGGCTGAGGCTGAGGCTGAGGCTGATGCAGGCTGAGGCTGAGGCAGGCTGAGGCTGAGGCCGAGGCTGAAGGCAGACTGAGGCTGAGGCTGAAGCAGGCTGAGGCTGAGGCTGAGGCTGAGGCAGGCTGAGGCTGAGGCTGAGGCAGGCTGATGCTGAGGCAGGCTGAGGCTGAGGCTGAGGCTGAGGCAGGCTGAGGCTGAGGCAGGCTGAGGCTGAGGCCGAGGCTGAAGGCAGACTGAGGCTGAGGCTGAAGCAGGCTGAGGCTGAGGCTGAGGCAGGCTGAGGCTGAGGCTGAGGCAGGCTGATGCTGAGGCAGGCTGAGGCTGAGGCTGAGGCTGATGCAGGCTGAGGCTGAGGCAGGCTGAGGCTGAGGCCGAGGCTGAAGGCAGACTGAGGCTGAGGCTGAAGCAGGCTGAGGCTGAGGCTGAGGCTGAGGCTGAGGCTGAGGCTGAGGCTGAGGCAGGCTGATGCTGAGGCAGGCTGAGGCTGAGGCTGAGGCTGATGCAGGCTGAGGCAGGCTGAGGCTGAGGCCGAGGCTGAAGGCAGACTGAGGCTGAGGCTGAAGCAGGCTGAGGCTGAGGCTGAGGCAGGCTGAGGCTGAGGCAGGCTGAGGCTGAGGCTGAGGCAGGCTGAGGCTGAGGCTGTGACTGCGACTGCCGTTGCCACTGCGACTGCCATCGCGAATGCGACTACGACTGCGAGAACAGCAGAATTCTTCAATTGGATTCTCATCTGAATCTTAAGGGGAATGCTTCCAGATATGCTACTACACATCGCTGTTAGGTTGCTTCGCTGGGATAATTTTTCCAACCGCCCACAGCCGTCCAGGACGCTCCACTGATCGCCCCTTTGCGACCCGAAAAGCCTCCAGGAGGGTCCCAGGACGGTGCAGGGGAGCCCCAAGGCGGTTCAAGAGGCGGCCTAGACCGCCCAAGAAGTCCAAGCTGGGGAATTCAACTGACATTTCGAGCCCTCCACCATGAGTGGGCCCCCGAGACCGCAGCAGGGACCCAAGATGCCCCAAAGGGCCTCACTAGGCCCCCACAGGGCCCACATGAGGTCACAAGAAGCGTCAAAACTCGCTCCACGAGGCTCCCGAGAAGCATGCCAAGAGACCCCGAATTACAGGTATCCAAGAATCCCCTGGCCCTGACCTCAGGCACAGTGGCTGTATGGGCCGAAGGCCATTGATAGGCAAGCAACATCTGCTTGGGCGGCGGACCCAACCTTCTGCAGTCATGTGGAGGAGTGCAGGGCGCGGGTCTCTCTACTCCATGCATTGCGCGCCGCGGGGCAATGCGGAAAGATGGAGCAATGATGGTTAATCCGCGTGAAGGGCCGCGCGATCACGCCCACTGAGGCCGCAGGCGGACCTCCTCTGGGCACGCCCCGTGCAAGGCATGTTTCGAAATGGGCGGGGGTACGCCATGCGAAGCTGCCCGTTGGTGCCATGGGTGGAGTCCACTCTAGGGCATGACTCGCGCGACAGGTCTGCCGACATGGGCGTGGGGGTCGTTGTACGAACCTTGTCTCTGAGCCTTCAGGCTCTGCTCCCTGTGGGCACGATCCGAGTGATAGGGTGTGCCGCAATGGCCAGGGGGGGAGGCGCAGTGCGAACCCTGCCTCTGGGGTCGTATGTGGAGATCCCTGTGGGCCACGATCTGTGTGAGAGGTGTGCCGAAGTAGGCGGGAGGACGGGATCCGAATCTTGTCTCCGGGGCCGTCCGTGGAACTCCTTACGGGTCACGATCCATGTGAGAGGTGTGCCGAAGTGAGCTGGGCGGCGCTCTGAAGCCCCCCACCTTGTGCCGCGCAAATGCAGTCTCTTGCGGCACAAGATCCGCGTGAGCGGCGTGCCACTATGCGAACCTTGTCTCGGGGGGCATAGGCTGTGGGGCGCGATCCCTGTGAGGGAGGTGTGCCAACACGGGCGGGGGGAGCCTAAGCCAAGCTCGTCTCTGGGGCAACAGGTGGAGCTTCCTGAGGTGCACGATCCGTGTGATGGTATATTTCTTCCGGTGCCGAGCACGTTAGACTACAAGCATAATGTGCTAGAACCTAGTGGCGAGCGAAGCTCGCGCGTGGTGCTGGTATGCACATGTATATATATATATATATATATATATATATATATGTGTTTAGATAGTGTGTGTGCATGTATATACACATATTCGTAAGTATATGTAGGTGTGTGCATGCAGTATACACATACACACATATGTGTATATATATATATATATATATATGGATTCTTCTCTGTCTCTCATTCTTCTCCCTCTCCCCCTAGAAAATCCTTGGCCAGGAGGGCGTGCAACTCCGCACCTGTCGGCGCCTCATGATGGGTGGGGCCGTCGTGTCAGTCCGTTCCGGCGAGGTACACGTATTGGATGGACGCGAACTTGGAGCAGCAACAGGCGTTCGCGATAGTTGACCAGCTGCGCGCGGCCGAGTGGCTGAGCACCGAGACCGAGCTGCTGCGGGTCCAGGCTTGGGCCGAACGAAAGGGGGGGATAGGGAAAGGGGGGGGTTACGAAATCTGCTCATGCAGCTGGTTTCGGCCCCGCCGCCGGGCCCATTCCTCGATACATGGGCGCTTCCCGGCGCCGGGAGGCGCTGGGGAAATCAGCTACGTGAGCTGATTCTCTACCCTACCCTTTGCTATCCCTCCCTTTTGGTCTCCCCGACAGGCGATGATGTACAACGGCCAGGTGGCGATGTTCGTGCTGCTCCAGGTTGACCTCACCATGGACCGCGTGGGGGCGATCACCAAGGTTGGGCGCACGAGTCGGTCTGCTATACCGTCCCCCCCCGCCCTCCCCCCAAAACTCCCCTTCCCTCCGGCCGAGGGATGGAGGAGGAGGAGGTAGGGAGGAGAGTGGAGAAGGGGGGTAGAGGCGAGGGGATGGGAAGGAGAAGAGGAGGGTGGGGGGAACAGCACAACTATTTGTTTGGTCGGGTTCCTGGGCGCCCGCGAAGACCATGAAGACGCAGGCGTTGCCGGCCGAGGTGTTCGATTCGGAGTGGGCGTACGTCGCGGACTTCCTCTTCGTGTGTACGCTCGCGTGGCTCTTCTTGGGGGAGGCACTGGCCTGCATTCGGTCTGGCAGGCAAGGCGCCCTCGGGACATTTTTGTTCAAACTCGAGAGACTGACCAACATCACGGTATTAGTGATGGGGGCAGGGTTCGTCCTCTCGTTCGTCATCCTTTCCCAGAGACTTGCCAAGATTTCGGACTCAGTGGCAGCATCGATCTCCTCTTCAGAGGATGCTGGGACATCTATGGAGGACGTCCGCTTGAACTTGGATGAAAGCTACGATTTGGCCTCCACGATGACAGAGCAGATGAGGTACCATGAGTTCGCAGCGTTCGCTTACACGTGTCTGATGCTGGTCCGCTTCTTTGATGGGTTTCGAGGGAATCAGAGATTGGCCATCCTCACCGACACGCTCGCAGTGGCATCAGACGACCTATTCCATTTTTTGTGTATTTTCGCCGTGGTGTTTTCCAACTTCGTAATCAGCGCGCACTTGCTCTTTGGGCAGTCTCTGCTGGAATGGTCTGACCTTCGGCGGTCATCGAACACTGGATTCCGGGCGCTCATGGGCGACTTTGATTTCGAGTCCATGTACAGGATAGCTCCAGTCAGTGCCACGATTTGGTTCTGGAGCTTCATGCTTCTGATCTTCCTGACGCTGATCAACATATTCTTGGCCATTGTGCTCGAGGCCTACACCGAGGTGAAAGAGAAGGCCGGGTCGCAGTGCGAGTCGCTTCTGAGCATGTTCGGCCGCGCCGCCTCCTCGGCCGCAAGCAGGCTCACGGGGCTGGAGCTGCACGCGGCGGCGCTGCTGCCGGTCAGAATGTCCGGCTCCTCTGCAGCGCCCACGACCAAGCACGAGGCGTCGGGCACAACATTCGGGCCGGACGAAAGGGGAGGATAGGGAAAGGGGGCGTTACGAAATCTGCTGCATGCAGCTGGTTTCGGCCCCGCCGCGGGGCCCATTCCTCGATAAATGGGCGCCTCCCGGCGTCGGGAGGCGCCGGGAAAATCAGCTACGCGAGCTGGTTCTTACCCCCCCCTTGGCCATCCCCACTTTCGCCCGACCCAGAACTTAGAACAACAACCACAGCTGAGAGCACTTTTCGGGAGGCCCCCTCGACACGTGAACTTTGGATGTGGTTGTGGTCGACCTGGCCGTCCTGGGACGCCACGTCGACGGTAACCAGTACGAAGCTGGCTTCGGTGCTCCGACCTTCTCGTGGCATGCCACCCTCCTGGGTGTGTCCCCGATGTGGTTGTGGTCGCTTGCCGTCCCCGCAGAGGCGGCGGATCTCCGGGAGGAAATTGCCGCCTTCCGCCTGGAGATGCGCGCCTGCTTGCAGCACCTGGAGGACCTGGGCGGCCCGCTGGGCCGTGCCTCTGCGCCCTCCCCGGAGCTCACGGCCGCTAGCCTCGCGCCGCTCAAGGGGAGCCCGGGGGCGCAGAACCTATCCCTGTGTCGGGTTGGTCCCTCTACAGGGGGAATTTCAAAAAATAGTCACAAAATAATATTGGGACGAGATTTTTCAAACATTTTGTTTGACTATTTGGGGGCATTCTTGGGGTATTTACATTGTTCGTCCAAAATGCGCCTGTAGGGGACATGCCCGACCTAAACCTATCCCCAGACATGCTCGCGTCGTGGGGACCGCGTGTGGCCTTTCATGCTGCCCCCCCCAACAAAAGCGCCCGGCTGGGAGCAAAACTCGTCCCCCCTCCTGGTGCCTCCTCCCCTCGCCCTCCTCCTCGCTCT